GGGCCCCGATGCTCACGCCACTCCCAGCTCCTTGTCATCCTCGTTCTCCTCGCCTTCGTTCTCCTCTTCCCCCTCCTCTCCCTCCGGCACGTGCTATAGGACGGGGAAAGTGTGGGGGCACGAGATGGAGGGGTACGAAGTGGAATGATAATGCAGATGGTGAGAAGAGGGGAACGAGGAGGAAAAGAAAAATAAGAAGTCAAGGTTCGAGATCGACGGCGACAAGGACAACGTCGACGACGTTAACGGCGACGTCTTCGATAACGACAGCGATGTCAGCGATGACGACGTAGATGGCGCGGACGACAACTGCATCGACGACGAACGACGAGGGCGACGCCGGCGACGACGGTCACTCCAGGACCTGTACTGTGGTACGCTCCTCCGAGAGTTTCGAGGTGCATTCAGCCGCGGCCACGAGAGCGCCGCTGGACGCCCAAGAAGGCCCAGGCTTCTGAAGCCTGGACGAGGACGACGACGACAACCTCAACGGCGGCGCCGACATCGGCCACAACGACGTCGGCCACGACGACCTCGGCGACGACGGCGATGGCGCCGCCGCCGCCACCGCCCCCCGCGCAGCTGCCTGGGCCGCCGAGGGCCGCCGATGACCGCTAGAGGGCGCCGATGGAGGCCATCGATGGCGGCCGGCGGTGCAAGTGCTCGGAGATCCCAAAAGGGCCTTCGACGGATCCTCACGCGAGAACGCGAGGCGGGGCGCCCAGGGAGCCCCGGGCCCCTTGGGGTCTGGCGGCCGCGGTGTGTGCGGTCGTCCCTCGTCGAAGACGCGAGGCGGGATGCCCAGGGAGCACGGGGATCCTCGGGGCCTGGCGGCCGCGGCACGCAGGGCTTGCGAGGCGGATCGAGGAGGACCCGGCCGACGCGCCCAACGAAACGCCACATCGGCGCTGCCAGCCGAAGCGCTTCTGAAACATGTGGGATCACATGGACAACGTCCTCGGCGACACCGACAGCGAGTGCTGTTCCACGTGGACAAAAGCTCCTCTCCGACTTCGTCCCCCGAGTTGGCGCCCGCCGATGGAGGAGTGGAGGGGGGCCCTAGGGTAAACCGACAGGTACCAACACCGCTACTCCCCGGACCTCTCCCGAGGTGCTTCCTGATCAGAATTTCAAAGCGAAGCCAATGGTGACGACGAGGGCCTCCCAGGAAGCCCAGGTAAGGAGAGCGGTATAAGTACCTGTTCCTCCCCTGAAAGCCGGCTGGAACGCCCCTGAACCGCCGCCGAGGCGCTCCCAAAGCGCCGCCTGCGATGACGACGGCACTGGGGACAACCGCGACAACGACCGTGACGACGACGGGCAGAACCCTAAATAATGAGCGAGGGCCTCTTCTCCATAAGTTAAACTCCGATTCTCCGTGAAAGCCTAAGGAGCACCCACGACGAACTGCAAAACAACTACGGAACACTGAGACCCTCCCCCACGAAAAGGGTTCCTTCTTCAACGGCCTGACTGTGTTTTTTCTTTGAGGGAGAAGATGGGAGCGGACCGCATGATTCAAGAACCTCCGTCGTAACGTGAATGCCGGTCGCACTTGAAAGCCGCTCTCTTCCTCACCCAGCGTGTGGGAACGGACGCTCTTCCACGGCCTGACTCTACGCCGACGTCGTCGACGACGACGACCGACCGCCGCGGCGGCGACGCCGTGCCGAAAAGCGCCGCCTCGCGGCCGAGCCCACGGGAGCGGCCGCCGGCGCGGCCGCGGGCCGCCGCGCGGGCCGCAGCGCGGGCCGCAGGTGGCGCGCGCCGTTGCGCGGCCAGAGGCCGCCACCTCGGCACGCTGTCGTTGCCGCTGCGGTCGTCGTCGTCGTCGTCGCCGTCGTCGCCGTCGTCGTCGTCGCCGTCGTCGTCGTCGTCGCCGCCGTCGTCGTCGTCGTCGTCGTCGTCGTCGTCGTCGTCGTCGTCGTCGTCGTCGTCGTCGTCGTCGCCGTCGTCGCCGTCGTCGTCGTCGTCGTCGTCGTCGTCGTCGTCGTCGGCGTCGTCGGGACCATGCTGGACGGCCTCGAGGTCAGCGTCGTTGTCTTCGCTGGGTGGCGGCGCCGACGATCACGAAGACCACGCAGAGAAGGGGAAGGGGATGATGATGCGGAGGAGGGGGTCCTGACTGTCCTCCCCTGCTTCTGCTCCCACCCAGAGCGGTCCAAAGCATGATGGGGTGCCTCCCCTTCTCCTCCCCCTCCTCTTCTTCCCTTTTCCTCCTCCTCCCCCTCCTCTTCCTACCGCGTTCCCCGGGATCCTTTTCTGCCCCTCCCATTGCACATGAATGTTCGCGCCCGTAACCATCCCTGCACTCATACCGTATACCATGTCTTCGTTGTTGTCAACTTCCCTGCGGTGCCGTGGCGCCGAGAGCTGCCCTTCCTTGCAGAGGCCGCGCGGCATGGTGGCCCGCTGGGGCGCCCGCGCGCTGCCATGCGCCCGAGCAGCTCGTCTAGCTCCCCGAAACTGAAGACAAACCCAGGCTCCTGATTGGCATGACGACGACGTCGACGGCGACGACGTCGTCGGCTCCTGATTGGCATGACGATGGCAAGCGCTTCGGCGGCGGCGAAGGAGGAGCAGGAGGACATGGATGAGGATGAGGATGGGGATGAGGATGAGGATGATGATGATGAGAAAACGCCGTAGAAAAAGAAGGAGGGAGAGGAGGAGGAGGAAGAGAGAGAGGGAGGAGGAGGAGAAAGAGGAGGAGGAGGAGCAGGAGGAGGAGGAAGAAGATTGTCAATCAGGGCGCCGGTAAAATACAACCCACCCCGCATATGCGGATAAGAGTGAGGGGGCGGTGGGGCATCGGCAGTCTGCACGACTCTGAAGAAGCCCGCTGCAGGCGCCAAAGTTCTACAAAGTATACAACGAGCCCTCCGCAGGCGCACATTTTTTGTTAAACCAATGCGGCTACGTCGCGGGTGGGTCGCAAAAGGGTCACGGCTGGTTCGCGGGTGCGTCATGGGTGGGTCGCTGTTGGGTCGCGGGTGGGTCGCGGGTTGGGTCGCGGGGTGGGTCGCGGGTGAGTCGCGGGGTGGGTCGCGGGTGGGTCGCCGGTGGGTCGCGAGTGGCTCGCGGGTTGGGGTCGCGGGGTGGGTCGCGGTTGGGTCGCGGGGTGGGTCGCGGGTGGATCGCGGGTGGGTCGCGGGTTGGTCGCGGTGGGTCGCGGGTGGCGCGGGGTCGCGGAGTCGCGGGTGGGTCGCGGGAGGATCGCGGGTGCGTCGCGGGGTGGGTCGCGGGTGGGTCGCGGGTTGGGTCGCGGGTGGTCGCGGGTTGGTCGCGGGTTGGGTCGCGGGTTGGGTCGCGGGGTGAGTCGCGGAGTGGATCGCGGGTGGGTCGCCGGTGGGACGACGAGAAACAACAACAACGCAACAACGCAACAACGCAACAACGCAACAAGCAGAATCTTCACCACGAATCCCCAGTTCAGCCACGCACCCAAGGACAATGAATGACCGTTCGGCCCCCGCACTATTACCATTCCGTGCCCTCACTGCTGGGAAACGGCGGAAGCCACACCCACCGACAGGCGATAAGCCAACCCACGAACCATATGGTGCGCGTCTGAGCCTGCTGCCAAGCAGTGCGCTAGGGCCGGCCTCTGCCTTTGCGACGAGCTCGCCTCGACCAGAGCATTGGGTTTCAGGGACCCTGTCTACTGCCTGTTTTATACATATATATAACAAATAAAAGCGGTGCCATCGCTCGCGCGCTGGCTGCTCTGAGCTGACCTGGAAGCTCTCCGTGCTCGAGGCCTGTCAAAGACGTTTTGGGGGGGGAAGCTGCGGAGGCGGAGGCGGAGGTGGGCCTGGGCGTCGTGGCCCGGAGCTATCATGCAGTGAGGGGGTGGGGGCCGGGGTGGAGGGAGGCCTGCCCGCAGAGGCATCGACAGTGAGACGGGGCGTCCTACGTTTGGGGGATCATGGGTGGTTTCATGGTCCGTGACCTGCACTCCCCTCTCGCGAGGCTCGCTGGGAGTCTCTCCCGACACACAATTCGGACCAGCGGCAGCTTTCAGTAGACGCAGCACAACGGCATCCCGACGCCGATGTGCGTGCGAGTTCTCGCCCCCACCCGTCTCGTGCACGGTCGAGGCAGTCCGAGATCAACTGCTGGGCACCGTCGGCGCGATCGTCCTGGACCTCGAGCGCTGCCCGGGGCAGGAGCCCTCGGCAGCGCCCGACATCGCACGCCACGCTGAGGCCGACGACGCCCCAGCTGGCGACGTCGTCATCCTAGCGAAACGGGTTGACCTCGTAGGCGTGATCGTTCTGGACCTCGCGCACCGCCTGGGGCCAGAGCCCTTGGCGGCACCCTGCATCGCAGGCCGCGCCGAGGCCAGCGACGCATGTCCTCGTTCCCTGGTGGTTTTCGGACCAGGAATCGGTTTCTTGGCGGCCGTTCTGTGCGAGCTGGGCACCCCCAAAAGGCTCTCGGCGAGGCTGGAAACCTGCCGGGATCCGGCGAAAACGCCCGAAAACTTCGATCCCGAAGACCCTGAGACCTCCGCCGCGGCCCCAGCAGCCGTCTACCCCCCAGCGACGTTGCCCCTGGGACCCGAGGGTTCAGGGTCGCACTGGCACTTCCTAGGCACAAACATGTCGTGACGTGATGCGGAGTTCCCCCCCTCCTCCTCCTCCTCCTCCTCCTCCTCCTCCTCCTGCTTCTCCTCCTCCTCCTCCTCCTCATCATCATCATCATAATCATCTTCCTCCTCTTCCTTCTCCTCCTCCTCCTCCTCCACCTCCTCCTCCCGCCTCCTCCTCCTCTTCCTTCTCCTCCTCCTCCTTCCCCTCCTTCTCCTCCTCCTCCTCCTCCTCCTCCTCCTCCTCCTCCTCCTCCTCTTCCTCCCCCCCTGACCTCCTCCTCATCATCCCACCCTCATCCCCCTCATATTCGAATCGCGCAACGAATCCACGTCGCTGACGTTTGGCCTGTACGGGCGCCCTCGGGCGACCGATCAGCCGGCCGGGGGCGGGGCGGCGACGGCGGGCGGCGCACCCACTGCGTCAGCGCCACCGGCAGCTCCGCGGACGCTGGCGGCGCCGGCGACAGGCCGAGGGGGTCCGCCGGGGCCTCGGGTCAAGTCGGCGGGGGGGGACGGTACGGCGGGGCGGCGCGGGGGCGGAACGGGTACGGCGGCGCCGTGGCTGCGATCGTGCACAGGCGCGCCGAAGAATAAGGCGGCTGCGAAGAGCAAGCGGGGAGAGCAACGGCGCGGCGCGCGTAGTCCTAACATCGCGGCAGCGCCGAGGCGCGACGGGCTGGGTCGGCAGTTCGGCGGGCTGCGCGGCGCGGGGGGCTGCTGATGCGCGGCCACCAAAGTGGTCCCGACTCGCACGCTGCGGCCAGCTTGTTTCACGACGACATGGGAACCATCAAGTGATCTAAGCAGTCGATGCCCGGCTCGTGGTTGCACCACGTGTTGAGCGGCGGGCCACCTCGGATGACTAAGAAGTCCCACCCGACACAGCTCACCGCTCGGAAGACTCAATACATCAGTTCTCGTCGCTGCAGTGCCCCCCGAGGCGGGGGCATCTGCCTCTGTAGCGGGCGCGGGGGGCCGAAATCGAGGAAAAGCGCGTGGATCAAAACAAACGAAATATCATCGTCGGACGTCTGAGGTCTGAGGATGGGGGTCGCCGGGCCTTGGGTCGGATCGGAAGAACGCGGGGGTTCTTCTGGATGGGGCGGGCAGAAAAGGGATTTCCCTTCCAACGGAGCCTACCCATCCCCCCCCCCCCGAAACCCTTCCTGCCTCCTCCTCGTCTCCTCCTCGTCTCCTCCACTCCTCCTCCTCCTCCTCCTCCTCCTCCTCCTCCTCCTCCTCCTCCTCCTCCTCCTCCTTCATCTCCTCCTTCATCTCCTCCTCCTCCCCCGCCTTCTCCTCCTCTTTCTCCTCCTCCACCTCCTCCTCCTCCTCTTTCTCCACACCCCCCCCTCCCACGTTCCGACGACGCGTGCCCCAGACCCCCCCCCCGCGGATCCAGGGGGGGGCGGCTATTGTCCCATCCTGGGGCGGCGCGGGGAGCGCTAAGGAGATAAAGGGGGGTAGCAACGGACGCCAAGGTGGGTCAGATCTGGCCTGACGCAGCGTATAAGTGGAAAACCCATGCCCCAGTGGCTTAGGGGTGTTAGCGATCCAGGCTAAGTGGGCTCCGCCCACTGAACGGAGTTACCAAGCCCCCCAGCAGCCCCCCATCCCCTCAGCGGCCCCCCTTGCCCATGCCAGTCGGGCCGGGTCGGAAGGAGGGGTTGTGCAGCCGTTGATGAGAGCATTTTTCTGCGACGCGAGAGCGCGGGGGAGGCGTGCTGGCTTTTGCGCGCGTCCCTCGAGGGTCGAGGAGACGCCCTCGGCACCCCGAGGGTACGAGGGTGCACGGGGGCCTCGAGAGGGCGAGGGGGGAGGTGGAGGTGCTGGACTTTCGCGTCGGCCCTCGAGCATCGACGAGCGAGGCGTGGGATGTTTTCGGGGGGGGTGGGGGGGTGCTCCACGTTGTTCCCCAGACAACGCTCGCGCGGAAGGGGTCTCGCATGTTTTCTCGAACGACTGAGCTAGAGCTATGGGTTCTCGGCTGGTGCCTTGTCGTGGGCATCTCGTGGGCGCCCCGTGCGCTGGCGGGGATTCCTGGGTTGTCGGCTGGAGTCTGGCCGTGAGCGCCTCGTGGACGCCCCGTTCACTGCGCTCAATGGGATTTTGGAATGTTCGCCCAGGGCCTGGCCGTCCGTAGATTGCACCGCATGGCTTGCACCACATGGCTTGCACCACACAGCTCATTCCGCATGGCTTGCCCCACGTAGTTTGCACAATACAGATTGCCCCATACAGATTGCACGGCGTAGCTTGCACAGCATATCTTACACCACAATGCACCACATAGCTTCCACAACATAGCTTACACCACATCGTGTGCAACACATAGGCTGCAGCGCATAGCTTGAATCACATAGCTTCCATCAGGATAAAACACATTAAATTGTGTGCACAAAACTGTTTTCATAACTTAATTTACACCAAATTTGTGTTACCACATAATTTGCATTACGTATTTTACAGCGCAGACGTTCGGCAACGTATATTCAGCTTGCATCGCGCGTCTTGAACCAGATCTGTCAGTCAGAGCTAGCACCACGCAACTTGCATCGCATGGCCAACACAACCTGGCTTGCACCACATGTTCCGCACCATATTGACTTGCATGTCCAGCCCAATGCGAACCCTGCCATGCACCTGGGGTCTTGCCACTCTCCGACGCATCCTGTCGCCGCCCCAGAAAGCCACCCCGTCAGGGCCCCAAGGCAAGGCGGTCCGCCGGGAGTCCCAGCAAGGCATCTCGGCGTCGCCGCCGCCGCCACTTCGCCGTTGTCATCGTCGTCGTCGACGTCGTCGTAGTCGTGGTCGTCGTCTTCGGCGTCTTCATAGCGATCTCGCGGTTGTGATCTGGACGTCACCACCGCCGCCGTCGTTGTCGCCGTCATCCCGCCCTCGCCTTCTTTCAGGCGGCATGCCTTTCGATCATCACAGGGGCCCCAGGCGGCGATTCGAGACGATCCTGGGACCCCTGGATGGCTCTCGATGAGGCGCAGCCTTGCCGCCCGAACACGCGGCCCGCCGTAGCCACTAAGGGCCCCAGAGGCACCCCCAGTGCCCCGGCGCTCATTTCTTAGAGTCATCATGGCCGCCGCCGTCGCCGTGTTGCCGTCGTGGACGCCATCGTCGTCGTGGTCGTCGTCCTGTCATGGTCGTGGTCACGGTCGCCGTGGTCGTCAATACGGTCAGGAACTTTGGGATAGACACGGCGGCGGCCTGGACGACACGCTATGCCCTGCGAGCGGATAGCGTGTCGCTCCGCACTGCGGGGCGTGATGCTCGAAAAGGCTGGAAAGGTTGACGCCAGGGGACTGGGAAGTGGGCAGCGTGTCGCACAGCTGCGTGGTGGCCAAAAACTGAGGGGAGCGACACGCTATCCAAACGGTCCCAACCGTAAGCGTTGTGATCGAGATTGCCGCCGTGTTTGTCACCGTCATCGTCATCTCCTCGTGGTCGTCGTGGTCGCGGTCGTGGTCGAGGTCGTGCTCGTGGCAATGGTCGTCGCGGTTGTCGTGGTCATCGTGGTCGTCGTGGTCGCCGTGGTCGCCGCGGTTGTCGTGGTCGTGGCCGTGGTCGTGGACGTGGTCGCGGTCGCGGTCGTGGTCGTGGTCGTCGTCTTCGTCGTCGTCGGCCGTCGGCAGCGAGGGGCGGCGAGCGGCGCCCGGAGCAGCGCGGGCGTCACCGGCGCCGCGACGCCCCCCGCGCGCCAGGTGGCGAGCAGGCACGCGAGGCTCAGCCGCGCCTCTCGAGGACGCGCGCTCGCGCCCAGCAGCCGATGCCGCCGCCGCTGTCGTTCGCCGCCGCCGCCGCAGCCGCCGTCGTCGCCGCCGCCGCCGTCGTCGCCGTTGCCGCAGTCGTGGCCGTCGTCGCCGTCGCCGCCGCCGCAGCCGCCATCGCCGCCGGCGCCGCCGTCGCCGCCAACGCCGTCGCCGTCGCCGTCGTCGTCGTCGTCGTCGTCGTCGTCGTCGTCGTCGTCGTCGTCGTGTCGGGTGGTCGGGCGTTGTCGTCGTCGTCGTCAGTGATCTCGACCTCGACATTATCTTCTCCTTCGTCCGCCGCGTCTTCATCTTTCTCCTTCTCCTCCTCCTCCTCATCCTCCCCAGCCTTCTTAATGGGGCAGGAAGAAGGAGGAGAAAAGGGAGATGATGGTCTGAAAAGGATTATTGGGGCCCCGGGGGTGCCAAGGAGCCCCCAGAAAAGCAGGAGCAGGAGGAAGGAGCAGGACGGAGGATGTGTAGGTGGAGCCGTGGGGGCGTTTCTCGCCCCAGATGCTTTCTGAGGGCCACCTAGAGACCGAAAGCGGCGAACAGCTGCCGCGGCGAAGGGCCGAAACCTATGCAGCCGAGTGCAGCGCAGGGCGAGGCCTTCGCCTCATGTGTGGTGCGCCGCGGGGGGGATTGAGCTCGCAGTGCGGACGGGGCGCTGCGGAGCAAGCGTGCGGAAACGCGCCAATCTTCCTACGTATGGTGCACGGTCCGCGTGATAGGTGTGCCAAGCTGGGCTGGGGACCGCATGCAAGGACTTCTGCTGAAGCCGTCTGTGGAACCCAAGACGGTCCGCGTGAGGGTGGTGCCGAATTGGGCGGAGCACCGCATGCGAGGACGCGCACTAGGGCCGCAGGTGAAGCTCCCTGTGGGGCACGATCCGCGTGACAGGTGCGACGCGATGGTCGGAGGGACGGCATGCGAACTCGCGCTTGTTGAGCGGTAGGCGAAGCCCCCCATCGGGGCACGATCCGCGCGAGGGCTCCGCAGTGGGCGGAGGGACGGCGCGCGGGCGCCCTCACCGGGCCTGTCGGTGGACCTCCCTGTGGGGCACGATCCCCGCGAGGGGTGTGCCGAAATGGGCCGAGGGAGCGAATGCAGCCGCCCTCGCTGGACCCGCGGGCTCCCAACTGGGCACGATCTGTGTGCGGGGTGTGCCAGCATGTGCGGAGCGGGCGCCCTCATTGGAGCAGCGGGGCGCAATCCGCGTGAGGCGTGTGCCAGAGTGGGCGGGGCGACGCCGTGCGGACGCGCGCACTTGGGCCGTAGGTGGGGCTCCCTGCGGGGCACGATCCGCATGACAGGTGTGCCGAAAATGAGGAGTGCAGGAAGGGGGGGGGGATTAATGATGATGATGAGGATGAGGAGGAGGAGGAGGAGGAGGAGGAGGAGGAGGAGGAGGAGGAGGAGGAGGAGGAGGGGGAGGACGAGGAGGAGGAGGGGGAGGAGGGAAAGGAGGAGGAGGAGGAGGAAGATGAAGAGGAGGAGGTGGCGGAGGAGACGTGAACCGCTGCGGTCTCAGACGATGACCCAACAACACTAGAGCGCTGGGACATGGGAGCGGGAAGAAAAAAGGAGGGAGGGGGAGACTGCACAAGAGTGATGGGATACACTCTGCCCTGCCTGTTTCTGGGCGAGCAAGGAGATACCGATACCGCTGCTCCCTAGACCTCGCCTGGGGCGCATTCTGCCCAGGACTTGCGAAGCCAATAATCTGGCCGTGGTGAGGCGAGTGAGGCGAGGGCCCGCAAGGAGGCCCAACGAGGCGAATCTAGGGCAAATACATCGGTATCGGGACGTCCTGTTGTAGGAAAACTAAAAAGCACAGCCGTAGAGATGATTAATCATACAATTCTGGTTTAAGACATCTGGGCCAGGATCCCGAACATTCGACAGTTAAACCTGAACCAGCTTTCCGACAAGTTAGTCAAGGAACGCTGGCCCAGCTTTTCGGTAGAAGGTTTCTCAATCATATGCTCGACCGTACATATAACGCTACTGTCCTGACCTCTCCGGGGGTGGGTGCTGACGAGGATCCAAGGGCGAATCCATCCGTGCAGACGAAAGACGCGCAGCGGTGCCGGCACACTCTCCTCCTCTGATCCTCTCCAAGGGTGCTTGCTGACCAGAATTCCGGGGCGAAGCCAGCCAGGCCGGCAAGGGACGCGTAGCGGTGCCGGCACCCTTCCCTCCTCTGATCCTCTCCAAGGTGATCTCTGACCAGGATTCTGGGGCGAATCCAGCCGCTCCGGCGAGGGACGCGTAGCGGTGTTGGCAGGAGAAGGATAAAGAGAAGGAGGAGGAGGAGGAGGAGGAGGAGGAGGAGGAGGAGGAGGAGGAAAGGGAGCAGGAGGAGGAGGAAGAGAAGGAGGAGGAGGAAAATGAAGAGGAGGAAGAGGATGGGTGGAGGAGGACGAAAAGGAGGGACACGGGTCCCTGCCCCAAGCGAGCGCCGCATCACCCGTTCGCTCATCTTCCTCCGATCCTCCTCCGAGTTCCAAGAGGAGGGACGTCGGTGTTATTTTTTGTTCAGGGGGGTCGGCGACCGACGGCCCGCGACGCTCGCGACGACGTCGACGACCAACGACGAAGACGATGAAAACGACGACGACGAAGATGATGATGATGATGATGATGATGATGATGGTGGTGATGATGATGATGATGATGATGATGATGATGATGATGATGATGATGATGATGATGATGGATGATGGATGATGATGATGATGATGATGATGATGATGATGATGATGATGATGATGATGATGATGATGATGATGATGATGATGATGATGATGATGATGATGATGATGATGATGATGGCGGCGACTACGACGACGACGTCGACGACGACGACGACGACGCTGACGCCGACAACGACATCGACGACGACGACAGACGCGGTCGGATGCGGAGGGCGGGGCGAGGGGAGCGGGCGTCTGGGTTCTGGCTCCAGCGCGGGCTGCTCGGCGAGCAGCCGTACAGCGGCACGAGGACGACCGCTCCTCTGCTGGGCAGACGTTCCGCGCGCGGGGAGGGGGGCGTTTCCTCCTCGCTCCCTCCTCCCCCCACACCTCGTTTTCTCGCCCCCCCCCCTCCTCCTCCTTTTCCTCCTCCCGCCCCTATTTCCCCTCTCCTCCTCCTTCTCCCCCTCCTCCCCCACCTCCTCCTCCTCTTCCTCCTCCCCTTAGCCGTTTCGCATCCGAGCGGCCTCCCCTGCACAGGGCCTCGTGGACGATGTGGCGCGCCAACTTCGAAGTGGCGTTGCGTGCCCGAACCGTAAAGAAGAAATGCTGAGGCCAGGCCTCAGTCAAGAAGCAGCGCGGAGCCCAACGTCATCAGCTGCAACGCTGAGACCAGGCGAGCGCGCAGCCGCCAGGAGGCCCGCCCCCTGCGCCCCCTCCTCCACTCCTTCGTTCCCCCCCTCCACCTCCTGGCAAACCGGGGCGCCAACAGTTGCGGCGCCGCGGTCAGAGTACAGGCAATCCGTCGAGAAGACGAAGGACGAACCCGACGTCAGCAGCTATAACGCTAGGCTCAGGGTCACAAGCGGGAGCCAGACTCTACACGTCACTGCGAGAAACGGGATAGTGAAGGTCGAGCCCAAACGCCGTCAGCGACAGCCGACTCCGCATCCGACGCTGGAGGCCAAGCTGGTGGCCGTCGAGGGTCGAGCCATATACGATCAGTCACAGTGTGGCGATCAGGGCATGCTACACTGGGAGTCTGATGCCACACCTCACGGCGAGAGGCGGGAGGCGAAGTTGGAACCCAACATTGGAGCCAGAGGCCAATCTAGTCTAGCCCTATACCACTACTATGCCAGAAATGGAAGGCAAAGCTGGAGCCCGCCTCTAAACCCGACGCCCAACTGCGAGAAGCGGGAGGCGAAGGTAGAGCCCGACGTGATCAGCTACACTGCTGGGATCGAGGGAAAAGCGAGCACGAACGGATGTGCCACGATCAGCTGTGGGAGCAGTCCTTGCGAGAAGGGCGCGCGCAGTGGCAGCACACGCTGGCGTTGTAAAGCGTGCGGGTGGGCTACGATCAACTACAGCGCTGGGAGCGACCTGTGCGAAAAGGGGGGCAAGCAGTGGCAGCGGACGCTGGCGCTGCGAGAAAACGGCTGCGAGAAGGGGGGGTGAAGTTAGAGACCGATGGCCTTCTAGCTAACTCCGCTAGAACAGCGCGTGCGAGAAGTGCAGGGGCGACACTCGGGGCAGTGGATCGGTGCACCTCGATAGCTTCGGCGCGAAGCGGCAGGGGGGAGCTTTGTGGCCAACCTCTTGCGAGAAGCGGGGGGCGAAACTCGAGCCCACTTTCGTCAAAGTTCTGGAGAAGCCTCATCTGATCAGCGGGGGGCGTAGCTGGAACCCAAGACAAGTCTCGAGCGAGACACTTTCAGCTACAGCGCTAGAATCAGCTCGTGTGAGAACGGAACGAATGCTGGGGAGAACAATCGGGGCAGTGGATCGGTGCACCCCGAGGGCGTCGGCGAGACATGGCAGGGGGGAGCTCCTGGGCCAGCCTCTTGCGAGTAGCGGGGGGGGGGTGAAGCTGAAGCCTTTTTTCGTCGAAAGCTCTGGGCAAGCCTTTTTGCGAGAAGCGGGGGGCAAAGCTGGAGCCCAGGTTTAGTCTGGAGCGAGCCACAGTTAGCTACAGTGCTGGACCCGCCTCGTGCGAGAACTGAACGCAGGCAGTGGCAGCTGGGCTGCCAAGGCGTGCGAGGAGTGGGGTGTGGCTCGGGGGCGGCCCGAAGCGGCCCCGCTCCCGCGGTAGCAAATCCACGGGGCGTTGCTAACCGTTTAACCAGCTCTAATCCAGCTCTAATCCTCCTCCCCTTCCCCCTCCTCCTCCTCCTCCTCCTCCTCCTCCTCCTCCTCCTCCTCCTCCTCCTCCTCCTCCTCCTCCTCCTCCTCCTCCTGGTTATGGTTCCAATTATTAAAACCCCGACTGGGAAGTTTTGTCTGCTCCGGGCAGAGCAGGTCCTGTTATGTTCCCCCCTGAGCGGTAGCGAATGCTGTGCCCAGCCCCGCGCCGAATGGCCAAGCTGCGCATGCGTCGGGGCGGCGGTCGGCGGCTGGGCTAGTGCCTTCTGCCCGACCCAGTCCCCCTTCGGCACGCCCTCGCAAATTCGAGGGCAGATTTGGTGCCCTAAGGGGGATCCGGCAGACCGCGCTGTCGGTCGCGACGGTCTTCTGGAGGGCCATGTAGAAGTCGCGCCCCTGCTTGCTCCACCAAGCACTACCCGCCACCACGCGGACGGGGAAAGGGGAGGAACGGGGAGAAGAGAAGGAAGGAAGGGATGAGGGAAAGGAAGGAGGACGGGAGGGAGGGAGGAAAGCAGGGACGGGGGGAAAATGGAAAGACAGGAGCAGGGGGGGCTGGGAGGGGAGAGAAGGGAGGGCAGGAAAAGAGAGAGAGAGAGAGGGAGACAGGGGAGGGAAAGGGAAGGGGAGAGCGGGAGGGGAGCGAGCACAGGGGCAGGAGAGAGGAGGGAAGCAACCGAAAGAAAACAAGGCCCAATAATACAGGTATGCGCAGCAGAGAGGGAGGGGGAGGAGAAGCGCCTCAACGTCGAATGAAGGTTGCGGCCAGGAGAGGAGGAGGAAAAGAGGGGAGGAGGACCCAGAGCCCAGACAACTACGGACGGCGCCTCAAAACAGCAGCGCTGCTCGATATGGTATAGGGTGCTAACCTACTCAACATTCGAAGCCAACAGAACCAGCGAAACGTTGACACCCACAATCCGGACACGCGAGCAAACAGACCACACCCAGGCACGAAGGCGAACAAGCGACCCACGCCCTGGCACGAGCCCCAGCGACACAGACCCATTACCCAGGCACGGTGGCAGGATGAACCGAAGGCAACAAGATAAGGCCGAAGTATACAGTTACGCGCAGCAGAGAGAGGGGGGAGGAGACGCGCCTCAACGCCAAATGGCGGCTGAGGCAAAGGGAGGAGGAAAGGGGGATAAGGAGGACCCTGAGCCCAGACAGCTACGGACAGGGTCTCAAGGCAGTAGCGCTGCTGAAGAAGGGCGTCGGGAGCTAACCTACTCAAAATACAAGGCCGTCTTGGGAGCAACCCTACTCTAACCACCAAGCTGTATTGCAACAGCAATGCGCAGCAAAACCAGACCTGCGCAAGGACACCCACAAACCCGGCACACGAGCAAACAGCCCACACCCAAACACACATGCGAACAACCGACCCATGCTCAGGCACAAAACGGACCCACACCGAGGCACGCGGCCACAAAACCACGACCCAAGCACCAGCTAGAAGACCCCCTCCGTCACTGCATCAGCCGCGACGCCGCGACAGGGTGGTCCAAGCGCGCCCACAGACCCAGGGGCGGGGGAGAGAGGGGAGGGAGGGGGGCGCGGCGGAAGCGCCTCAACGCCCGACGACGGTATAGGCAACAGAGGGGGGAGAGGGGAAGGAAAAGGGAGCGACTGCGTCGGGAGAGGGGCGCGGGGACGGACGAGGACGGGGAGGGGAGGGGGGGACGCCCCAACGCCAGATGGCGGTTGAGGCGGGGAGAGGGGGAGGAGGAGGAGGAGGAGGTTTCCGAGAAGGGAGACACAGGCGGTTGAGGCAGTAAGCGCAATATGGGCCCAAACGGGCCCCCTTCTCCTCCTCCCCCCCCACCCCCCACCCACGCCTCCTTCCGCCCCCCCCCTTCCTCCACCACCTCAACCCTCCCCGTACCCCCTCCTTCCACGCACCCCTACTCCCCCGTGCCCCGCATGCGGGGAGTAATTACCCCCGCAAAGTTCAACGTGCCACTGCCCAAGCCTCAGGTTCGACAGCTGGCAAAGGTGAGTTGGCGAATGGCAGCCAAGTGCGCTCACCAACGGCAACCTGCGGCCAGACCGTCGGCCGCAGACACGGACCAACAAGGACAGGCACACGGGCAGGCACGCATACAGACATCCTGGCAGCCAGACAGAGAGACATCGAAAACGACGCGATACATGGCAATGGCTATGTAGACGACAGCGGTGGCGACGGCAACTGTTACGGCGTGCGCGGTGGCTAGACAGGCCAGCCTAGGCTTTCACGTGCTGGAGCAATGGAAAATAGCGCGCGCAACCAGAGCGGGCATGTGCGCTCATACTATCTCCCCGAAGGGAAGAGGAGGAGCGAGGATGAGGCAGAGAGGAAGCAGAGTGCTGGAGACGGAAGAGAGGAGGGATGGAGAAATAATGGAGGACGGTAGGTCGACTCAACTGGCCATCGCGACCGAGACCAGGACAGGCCTTACAAGCTTCTGTTCATACAACACCGTATTCCTTACCACCCTGTGGTGTTGGGTCCTCGTTTTGAAGAGACGGTGCCCCGCGTTCCTCTCCTCTCCTTCCTCCTCCTCCCTCCCCTCCTCCCTCCTCCCACCAACATCATCACCATCATCGGCATCATCCGCATCATCACCATCACCATCATCATCACCATCACTATCATCATATCATGGTCATCAGCCTCCTCATCATCATAATCGCACGCACCAGCATCATACGACCCCTCACACGCTTCGTGGCCCCATACGAAGCTCCGCCGAAGGCCCCAGTGGCTGCGTTCGCACGTGGGCACCGCATCGATTTCGGCACACCTCTCACACGCTTCGTGGCCCCATGGGGAGCTCCATCAAAGATCCCAATGCCTGCGTTCGCATGCGGGCACCGCACCCAGCTCGGCACACAACCTCACACGTTTCGTGGCCCCGCAGGGAGCTCCGCCGAAGGCCCCAATGGCTGCGCTCGCATGCGGGCACCGCGCCTATTTCGATACACCCCTCACACGTTTCGTGATCTCTTAGGAAGCTCCGCCGAAAACCCCAGTGGTTGTGTTCGCATGCGGGCACCGCACCCATTTCGGCACACCCTTTACACGCTTCGTGGTCCCATTGGGAGATCCACCGAAGGTCCCAATGGTTGCTTTCGCATGCGGGCGCCGCACCCATGTCGGCACACACCCTCACAAGTGTCGTGGCCCTATAGGGAGCTCCGCCGAAGGCCCCAGTGGTTGCGTTCGCATGCGGGCACCGCGCCCATGTCGTTACACCCCTCACTCTTTTAGTGGTTCCCTAGGGAGCTCCGCCGAAGGCCCCAGTGGCTGCGTTCGCACGCGGGCACCGCACCCATTTCGGCACACCCCTCACACGTTTCCTGGTCCCGCAGGGAGCTCCACCGAGGGTCCCAGTGGCTGCGTTCGCCTGCGGGCACCGCACCCATTCCGGCACACCCCTCACACGTTTCGTGGCCCCGCAGGGAGCTTCGCCCAAGGCCCCAATGGCTGCGTTCGCATGCGGGCACCGCGCCTATTTCGATACACCCCTCACACGTTTCGTGATCTCTTAGGAAGCTCCGCCGAAAACCCCAGTGGTTGTGTTCGCATGCGGGCACCGCACCCATTTCGGCACACCCTTTACACGCTTCGTGGTCCCATTGGGAGCTCCACCGAAGGTCCCAATGGCTGTTTTCGCACGCGGGCGCCGCACCCATGTCGGCACACACCCTCACAAGCGTCGTGGCCCCATAGGGAGCTCCGCCGAAGGCCCCAGTGGCTGCGTTCGCATGCGGGCACCGCGTCGATTTCGGCACACCCCTCACACGCTTCGTGGCCCCATGGGGAGCATTACCGAAGGCCCTTGTGGCTACGTTCGCATGCGGGCACCGCATCCATTTCGGCACACCCCTCACACGTTTCGTGGCCCCTTAGGCTGCTCCGCCCAAGGCCCCAGCGACTGCGTTCGCATGCGGGCACCGCGCCCATTTCGGCACACCTCTCACACGTTTCGTGGCCCCATAAGGAGCTCCACCGAAGGCCCCAGTGGCTGCGTTCGCATGCTGGCACCGCACCCATTTCGGCACACTCCTCACACGCTTCGTGGCCCCATACGGAGCTCCGCCGAAGGCCCCAGTGGCTGCGTTCGCATGCGGGCACCGCGCCCATGTCGTTACACCCCTCACACGTTTCGCGGCCACATAGGGAGCTCCACCGAAGGTCCCAGTGGCTGCGTTCGCCTGCGGGCACCGCACCCATTTCGGCACACCCCTCACACGCTTCGTGAGCCCGCAGGGAGCTCCAGCGAAGGCCCCAATGGCTGCGCTCGCATGCGCCCACCGCGCCGATGTCGGCACACCCTTCACACGTTGCGCCGCTCCCATTTCGGCACACCCCTCACACGCTTCGTGGTCCCAGTGGGAGCTCCACCGAAGGTCCCAGTGGCTGCGCTCGCATGCGAGCACCGCACCCATTTCGGCACACCCCTCACACGCTTCGTGGCTCCATACGGAGCTCCGCCGAAGGCCCCAATGGCTGCTTTCACACTCGGGCACCGCGTCGATTTCGGTACACCCCTCACACGCTTCGTGGCCCCATGGGGAGCATCACCGAACGCCCTTGTGGCTGCGTTCGCATGCGGGCACCGCACCCATTTCGGCACACCCCTTACACGTTCCGTGGCCCCTTAGGGAGCTTCGCCGAAGGCCCCAGTGGCTGCGTTCGCATGCGGGCACCACGCCGATTTCGGCACACCCCTCACACGCTTCGTGGCCCCATAGATCCCAGTGGCTGCGTTCGCCTGCGGGCACCGCACCCATTTCGGCACACGCCTCACACGTTTCGTGAACCCGCAGGGAGCTCCAGCGAGGGACCCAGTGGCTGCGCTCGCATGCGCCCACCGCGCCGATTTCGGCACACCTCTCACACGTGTCGCGAGCCCACAGGGAGCTCCACCGAAGGCCTTCGTGGCAGGGTTCGCATGGCGCCACCGCGCTTAGTTCGGCACACTCGTGACACGTTTCGTGGGAAGGTCGCTCTGCCCAGCGGCCACACCCTTGCCCGCTTTCGGCCAGCCAGCTAGCTCACTCTGCTCCGCGGAGCGGACGACCCGCGAGCGTCGCCGGGACCCCTTCGGGGCGACGGGCGTGCGTCGCGGGGAATCCGTGCGGCGCCGCGCCCGCAGCCATGGACATCGGCGCGCACGGGCAAAGAGGCAGAAAAAAACGGGAAGGAAACGGGCGCGATCCTCGTGAGGAGCGTGCCAGCATGGGCGTCGCGGCGTGCGAGCGCTGCCGTCGGGGGTTCCGGGGAAGCTTCCTGCGGCGGCCACAAGCATACGTGAACCATTTACTCTCATTTACATTTACACCAGGCGTGGCCATGCTCGCATTCATGCAAATCTACTCACTCGCACGCTGACTCATTCACACTCAAACTCGCTCGCGCTCAGACTCACCCGCGCTCAGTCTCTCGTAATTAGACCAATCGTATTCGATCGTGTTGCGTACCCCGCCGCGCGATCCGGCACGCCCCTCATGCGGTTCGTGGCCCCATAGGGAGCGCCATTGAAGAATGCAAGCACGTTTGCGATACTCACAACTGCATATGTATGGTTGGGTCCTTCGCCAGGTTATTTGTTGTGCAAGTGCTGCGGATGTCATAATTTTCGGTCAGCTGGCCAGCCGGCTGGCTTTGGTGCCGTCTAGACAATCGGCTCTGTTCTCAATCGGGTTGGCCCGGTCTGTCGCTTGGCGACGGTCAAGATATCCGGTCGGTGGAATGATCTGTGGATGGTTGCGCAAGCGGGCGGGCGCTCTGGGCTGGCCAGTTGATGGGTCGTCTCTTGGTCGAGCGGGGGGTGTTAGCCAGATCTGTTCGTGACGAAGGCCACTGTTAGAGAGCACTCAGCACCCCGACGAGAAAGGCGTTTGGTAAACGCACCCAAGAAAGAAATCGAAGAGGGCAAGGCTGTTCAGGAAACGCCCAGGGCCGTCCAGCAAACGCCAAATATGGGGGTCGGGGTGGTTCTTCCTACCTTGCACTGCGGCCCTGCAGACCCCGAGCCGCAATTTGACGGCCCCGCGGCCCGACGCCGGGGCTCTAGGAGGGAAGAGCACTGGCCGCCACGACGGCTCCGCAACGCCGGGCCTGAAGGCAACCTGTCGCTCAGGATCGGTCTCTGGGCCTCCTCCAAGGACCTCCGCCCTGACCAGCTGCCCAGGCCGCGCCCAGCCGCGGCCACGAGGAAGGCCACCGGTGCCTCTTCCTCTAGAAGCCGTCGCAGACCCCGTTGGCGCGCGCAAGGGGCTGGCCGCCCCCCGCCCAAGGCAATCTCAAGCTCTCCCCGTTTTCCCTGTGGTCATCTTGGGCCTTCTCTCCTCCCGGAATGCCGCCCTGAGTGAACTTAGCAGCCGCGCCCAGCCGTGGCCACGAGGGATGCCCATCAAGCTCACCCAACAAACTGGACACAGCCCTGAAGCGCAGGGCGGAGTAACGCCAGGAGGAGGGAGTCACGCGCGGACATTTCTGCACGCAGTGGCACGGGCGGAACTCCGCGCGCGCATCCGGAGCGAGGTGGCTCACGGATCAGAAGAAACAAACAGCAAGTGGAAGAGGTAGAGGTCGAGGACACAGAATTCGACAGGCACGGGGAGAAGGAACAACATTCGCTGTCCAGGCGCGGCCACGTTACCGCATCAGCGACATCGAAGAGAATCCGCATCGAGTGGACAACTCCAGGATGGGCTGGGGATCCGCCGCAGACTCTGCAGAACGCATGACAAGTGGAGCATGGAAGAGGGGAGACATGTGACAACCGCCTGCATACATTGAGCACATGCCAGGTCTTCTACTAATCGCAGAAGTTTCTATCTAACGCAGCATCGAGTCTCAACCACCTTCGTGAGGAGGGGTTGAGACAGGAAGGACGAGGAGCATGAGCATAGTGAAGAGAATCAGGAGGTGACGAGGGTGATGATTGAACTACACGAAGCATCATGGCCGAAGTTTAGCAGACAGGCCTGTTCAAAAAAAAAACCGTAGAAGTACGGTGCCGCAGACATCCGTCGACGCTGTGCTGGTGCCATGATGCCAATCAGACTGGGCACGAACTGAGCCCTTGAACATACTCACACGCGATATGAAGCATTATTCGATGCCTCAGTGAATTATGAAACTGCTAAGAAGCTTGCTAACAAGTAAGAAAGGAGGGCTGCACGGGGCCAAGGATCTGGGGGGAGAAGAGACTGACCACCTGCAGTAGCAGACCACCCCCCAACCACACCGCCCGAAGACTCAAAGTAGTCGGATTGGGGGGGGGGGAACAGGTTCCACACGTGTTCTTCGGTGTTCCCCGCCCCCGCCCCGCACTGGGAATGGAGGGCCACTCGGGGCCTTCGGGTTGGGTAGGGGTGGTCTGGCGGGTGGCGAGACACGGCACGAGCTTAAGCTTTCGACGCGTGCGCGCGGGGCGATCCCAGGACCGTGCGGCGGCAGGCTGCGCCGAGACCTCGGAAACCCCGGAGGACCTCGCCGCACGGTCCGTCGCCGCGGTCCGAAACGGATGCCCATCGAGCCTCCTCCGGCCTGCGGGCCGAATCACCTGGCCCAGGAAGAGGAGGAGGAGGAGGAGGAGGAGGAGGAGGAGGAGGAGGAGGAGGAGGAGGAGGAGGAGAGAGGAAAGGAGGAGGAGGAGGAGGAGGAGGAGGAGGAGGAGAGGAGGAGGAGGGAGGAGGAGGAGGAGGAGGAGGAGGAGGAGGAGGAGGAGGAGGAGGAAGAGGAGGAGGAGGAGGCCTCCGATGGCCGCTCCTGGCCTCCTTCGCGGGCGGGCGCGTGCGAAGGCCGCGCCACCGCGTGCAGGCAGGATGTACGTTTGTGTACAACAGATTTCGTAATAAAGGGAGGGGGGTCTCATTTCGGGGGGGGTCTCTTCCAGGCTATCTTGGAGGGCCTGGAAGGGTCTGGGGACGATGTGTTGGAGGGTTCTCTCACGGGGGGGGTCTGAAATGGCTTGTCTTGGAGGGTCCAGACCCCCTCCCTTTTATTACGAAATCTGGAGTAGTCATTCCTCTGATGAGGGTTTGGTCCTGTGCAGGCTGGGCACAGAGGCCAGCTTCAGCGAGAGGAGCACAGGCAGGATCCCGCGCGGTGTCGTAGGTCGAGGGCCCGCACAGGAAAAAACAGCTGCATCAAAGTGCCAGCTCCCCACGGGCACCCGGCGGAGGAATTCGTCTCGACGCGGGAATCCCCACGTGTGCTTAGCCTTGCCAGCACATTCACTTCGAGCCTCTGAGCATTTGCGAACGAGTGTGTCTGTGCACGAGCAACTCTGGGCATGGATGGCCACGTGTGAGTCGGTGCCGCTGCGGGAAACGTGTCGTGGTTTGCGGTGCTTCGGAGGGAAAAAAAGGGAGGGAGCGGGCCGGTCGCAGGTGGAATCCAGGCATCGCGCTCCGACGATGTCAGGGCCGTGTCATGCGCGGGCAGAGCGGCCCTCCCCCCCCCCGCACCCAACGTGACCATCGATGTCCGTCAACCTTCTCGGGCCCGTCGGGCCTCGGACAGAGGGCTCTCCCCTGCGCCGTGCCCACTGCGGAGAGCAGGCTGGCCCGGGCGGCCCGCGCTCTGCCGCCAGGTCGTGGTGGTTGGACACGGGGGTGGCGCAGTCACCCGCCGCCACCCAGAGCGCTCGTGCAGAGCGAAGGTCGTAGAACTCGACGGCCGCCAGCGCCCCGTACATGTCGACGTGGGCCACCTCCCCGAAATCTTGGAGTCTTGCTGCGTAGCCTGTCTTCGCGAAGAAGCCCAGCAGGTCGACCAAGACGATGCGGCAGTCCTGTGGCGCTGATTGGAAAGGTTCAGCGCGGGACGCCATGTGCAGCAGCGCGCTTTGGGCGCACCGCACGTCGAAGTACGTCGCCAGCACGGTCCCGAGCGTGCCGCCGATGGCGTCGAGGCGGGCGACCTCTCCAAATTTCGATAGGTCCTGCACGAGCTTCGCCCCCACGACCGCCCACTCGCCGACAGCGTCGGAGACGCAGACCGTGTTCGACATGCCCGCGGTCTGGCTGCGCGCCACGTGCGGCGGCGCGTCCGAGCTGCCCGCTGCCGCCTCCGGGCGCCCCGCTCCGAGGCAGCTCGGGCCCCCCACGGGCGGAGCGGCCTCGCGAGCCCGAGCTGCGCCGCCGCCGCCGCCCACGCCCTCGCAGGTGGCCCGAGCCGTGCTGCCGCAGCTGCCCGCGCCCTCGACGGAGGCCGGAGCCATGCTGCCGCTCGCGGCCTCCGCAAGAGCCCCGGCCGCGCCGCCGCTCCGCAGGGCCAGTCGCGCGGCGCGGGCGCGGACGATCACGCGGCGCGAGGCGCGGTGCCGCCGCTGCGGGCTCGGGCTGCAGCTGCTCGGTGGTCGCCCCTGCGGCTCGGAGGTCGGGCCGCGGGCCCCCGAGGGCCGCCGCGGTGGCGGCGCGGGCTCGCCCGGGCCCGTGCGGCCTGCGCTCAGGGGCAGCCGGGCCCCTGGCTGAGCGCCCGCCATTGCCGCTCTGGGCTCTGCCGCGTGCGCCCTGGGCCACAGCCGATGAGAGTGGCGCACACCACGGGATCGCCTGAGCCAGTGCGGCTCTTGAGCCTCCTCCGGTAGATGGACCAAAAAGTGGAGCCCTTGACACCACGCCCCCCCCCCTCCCACCAATGTCAAAGTCGGCCTCAAGCATTTGGCCGCACAGGCGTGAGAGGACAAAAAAAGTGGAACCCCCAGGGCCTCCGAGAGGCCGAACCCAACTTTGAAATTGGAGGGAGGGGGGGGTCGAATGCGGTGCCGAAGACGAAGGGGTTCCACTGGTTTGTCCATCTACGGTCCGTCTGCTCCTCCTTCCCCTCATGCCCTCCTCGCTTCCTCGTCCTCCACCCCCTGCTCTCCGATGCCTCGTCGTACCACCCGGCGTGCCGGTGGGGCGGTCCTGGCGCTTTGCCCGAGGCGCCCCCGCGGGGCATAGCGCCGAAGTCGACCATTCCCAACAGGTGCTCGCCAGTCGGCAGAAGTAGGAGAACACATGAAGCAGGAAGGAAGATCTAGTAGATCGGGCTCGGGCCCACCAAAAGAGTAGCAATACAACATGTATGTATGTGTGTATGTATGTATGTGTGTATGTATGTAGGTATGTATGTATGTATGTATGTATGTATGTATGCATGTATGTATGTATGTATGTATGTAAGTAAGTATGTATGTATGTATGTATGTATGGATACATGCATGCATGCATGTATGTATGTGTCTATGTATGTATGTATGTATGTATGTATGTATGTATGTATGTATGTATGGATGTATAGGTATGTGTATATGTATGTATATATGTATGTATGTATGTATGTATGCATGCATGCATGCATGCATGCGTGCATGCATGCATGTAAGTATGTATGTATGTATGTATGTATGTATGTATGTATGTATGTATGTGTGTGTATGTATGTATGTATGTATGTATGTATGTATGTATGTATGTATGTATGTATGTGTGTATGCATCTATGTATGTATGTATGTATGCATGTATGTATGTTTGCATGTACGTATATATGTATATATAGGTATGTATGTACGTATGTGTATACATGTATGTAAGTATGTATGTATGTATGTGTGTGTATGTATGTATGTATGTATGTATGTATGGATGTATATTTGTATGTAAGTGTGCATGTGTGCATGTATGTATGTATGTATGTATGTATGTATGTATGTATGTATGTATGCCTGTATGCCTGTATGCCTGTATGCATGTATGTATGTATAAATGTATGGATGGATGGATGTATGTATGATTGTATGCATGTATGTATGCATGCATGCATGCATGCATGCATGCATGTATAGATGTATGGATGCATGTATGTATGTATGTGTGTGTCTATGTATGTGTGTATGTATGTATGTATGTATGTATGTATGTATGTATGTATGTATGTATGCGTGTATGCATGAATGTGTGTACGGATGCATGTATGTGTTTATGTATGCAGCGATCTATACTATACACATATTCTCGAAGTAAGAAGGCGCTTGAAGTATATTGGGATGTGGGAATCCTGACATACCGAATTTCAGCGAGCAGCGTGTAGACTGTGAAGGGTGGGTCGCATTCTAAATCACACAAGCTCTTTCAGGCGCAGGTGGTCTAGAGCGTTTCCTCTCCCACCCCCCCGTCTTCTCCTTCTGGGAGGGACTTACCCCTCCCCCGACCCCCTGCCCTGGATTTGCACGGGGTAGGCTCCCCCGAAGCACCCAAGACGCTCCAAGAGGCCCTCAGGATCGCCGAGAGGCCCCCAGGACACCCCAAGAGGACTCCAAGAAGCTCTCAAAAGGCATCAGAAGAGGCATCGAAGAAGCATTTGGTCTTTCTGCTCGCCCTCCTTCTACTCCTCCTCGCCCTCATTCGCCTACTCCTCCTCTCTCCTCCATCCTCCCCCCTGCCCCTTCCCCTTCTCCTCCTACTCCACCTCCGATTCCTCGTCCATCCTCCACCTCTTGGGGTATGATGGCTTCCCCAACTCTTTGTCCCACTACATGCTCCTCCACATCCTCGATCAGGGCAACTCGCCTGGGCATCCTTTCTGGGTGGCTGGTGGGGTTACGCTTTTTGGTCGCGGCCGCGAGCGAAGAGCGCAGACGGCGAGCAGGGTGTCCGGGCCGACGAACAAGCCTAATTAGCTACAGGGCGCGACAAGCTACAGAACGCAGCACGAGCCAGCCGGGCCAGCTCACAGCTCACAACCGCGGCAGCTGGGGCAGCAGCAGCGGGGGCTGGCTGGCTGAACTGGAGCGCCCTGGGAAGCTCAAGCAACGTGCAGCCCTGCGGCAACATGCCAGGGAATTCTGTGTTACGCGCTGTGGCGGCCAGGCGTGGTAAGCAATGGGCCGTCGCCAGTGGGGCGCCAAGCCCAAGCCTCGCCAACGGCGTGTGTTGCCAGCTGGGCAGCACCGCCGAAAAAAGCGCCGAATACCAAGCTGGTGGTGGGGTGGGCCCAGAAGGCGGCCGAAACTGCGAAGACTGAACCACTCGGAGCTGGCTGTACCTCCAGGGGCCGTGTGCGGCGAGAGGCCAAGCTGGTGGGGAAGAACATTGCCAGCAAGGTGGGGCGTCCAGGGTGGAGCTGCGCTGTCGCAGCCGCGTGGTGCCGAAGGCCACCATGGGACGGCCTGGTCCGCCGCGTCCGCCATTCCCCGCGGGGATCCCGGGTCACCGTCGAATCCACCATACCACGTGGGCCTCCAGGGTCGCAGCTAACCGCCGCTGATGGTGAGGTAACGTTGCCACTGACAGCGGGGGTCCAGGGCGGCCCTGGGGAGTGGGGGCGAGAGCCATCGAGACCAGCCCGCACGCCTGGCGAAGCCCGGCCAGAAGGGGACCAGGAGGGGGGGCGGTGGGGAGACGCGACAGACCACCCCCGCGGAGGGGCACCACGGGGGCGCCCTGCGAGGGATGCGCAGGGAAACGACCCCCGGAGGCCGAGGGCGGGGGACGCGCCCGCCCGGCCCGAGAGGGACCCGAGGAGAGAGGCGGCGGGGACGAACATCACTGCCCCTCCAACGGGCCCCAGGTGCACCTGTCCAGGGGGCACGGCCGCCATTCCCGAAGATCCTCCAGGGTCGCAGCTAACCGCCGCTGAAGCAAGTAATACCGAATGGTAAGTCTTTCGACCGATGTTGGTGTGGTCCAGAGTGGGCAGCCTGCCACGCTGAAGGCTGGTCTGCCAACGCGGAAGCCGGAACCTCTGTGGGGACGGTGTGTGTTGGTTCCTCCAGGGTCGCAGCTAACCGCCGCTGATGTTCTGGCGCCTGCACTGTGACAAAACTGAGACCTAGCTAGGTCGAGCCCGCGGCCAGGCAGGAGGGGGGATGCTGGGGCCCACCTCCCGCCCAGGGCCCGCGAGCCGGCTGTCGTCATCGGACAGCAAAGTCTGGGAGCCTGGGGGGCCTGCTGGCGTGAGCCAGGCGGGCCCCGCAAGGCCAGTGAGGGTGAAATGTCGGGTGCAAGTGGGAGATCCCCCAGTGGCTGGCCCGAATAGGTGGCGGGTGGGCCACTCATCCAGCGTGGGCCGTCTAGCTAAGCTGCGCCGTGGGTGAGATGTGGGGGTGAGCCTTCGCCCCAGCGGAGGGTGGCCCCGGGTATTACGGCCTGAGCCGGGCGCAGCAAGGTGAAACAAGCCCCTTTAGGGCCACGGGTGGCTGGAGGTGGGGGGACCAGGTGTCCACTCTGGGCGGGTGGCTGTATCTGGACGCTGAGGTAGGCCGTGGCAAGAGCACGTCAACCTTGGGTGTTGGAGTCACACTTGGCCCACCAGAGGGCCCGCTTGTCAGAGTCGCGGTCGTCCCCTCGTGGAGAGTATCGTTTGTCCCTGCCTTTCCAGTCGGAGTCCGTCCATGGGGTATCTCGCCGCTCCCAGGAGGACCACTCTTGCCAGCCCCGCCACTGGCTGGGGGTGGCAGTTCCAATGGCTCCAGCCCAGGGGTCCTGTGCCGCTGCTCGCGTAACCGCTCGGCTCTCGGCAGTCCAGGGAGCTGGCTTGTCGCGGCTGCCGTATTCGCGTGGGGCGTGTGCGTGAGCGTCGTGTCGCACGGAATTCATGTGCTTGTTCCGAACTTCGACCCAGTCTACGCCGAGTCTGAGCTCCCGATCCATCCGATATGCGCCGTAGCCAGCGTTGGCCCATGCTTCCAGGAAGTCCGCGCACGTCGTGGGTGTGTTGAGTTAAGGATCCCAGGGGCCTCGGACGGCGAACGACCGAGCCAGGACCCCTGCGGCGCTACGGCCACTGCCAACAGGCATGTTTTTGCCGCCCGCGGCCTCGGGCCGCGAGGAGCGGAAGGCGGGAGGAGAAGCAAGCCCTGGGCGAGGGGTCTGGCGCTCCGGGGGCGCAGGGCGCGCGAGTCCGCCGCGGGGCAGTGGCCGTCGGGCTCCCTGGGGGGCATCACGTTCTGGCAGGAGCCCGGCCAGAAGCGCCCGCAGTAGAGGGAACTGTTTTCCCAGTTGCCCCACGGCGGTTTGCTTGATCAATGCTTGGTGACACGCCCAATGGGCCCAACGGGTAAGTGAACGAAGGTGAGAGAAAGGTCAGAGCTCGTGGGACCACAGGTCTGGTAAACGCCCACGCACGTGCGGAGTATGTGCAGATGGCGCTCTTGCGCGTTGGCAAGCAACTCTATGAGGCACCCCAGGCGGCCACACGGATGTCCAACCCTCAGAAGGGAACCACATCCCTCTTCGCGATTCGAGGCGTCTTCAAGTTAAGAACAAGGCAGGAAGAGGAAGGAGGGAGGCAGGAGGGAGCATGCAAAAGCGAGG